CGGGCCTGGGGCTTCCTCAACCTGCTCCTCGGGGCCGGCAGCTCCTGGTTCGTCTACAAGGAGACCAACCTGCACCGCCCGGCGGCCGCCGCGGCCACCGCGGGGACAATGTGACAGCGATGGCCCCGGCCGAGGCCACCTCCAGGGAGGCGCCGCCGCGTTCTCCCCCCTCCTCTTATTTTTGTGCTAAATTTCCGACGTTTTGGGTATTCGGGGCTTGACGGGATGGGGTTTTTAGGGGGTTTTGTTGGGTTTTTTAAGCTTATTTTATTGCCGGAGGGGCCCGGCGGCCTCTTCCCATTGGCCCATTAGGGGTCTCAGTTGACCATTGGTGGTTGCTTGAATCATGGGTGGGTTGCTCAGACCCGGATTGGCCCCTTCTGATTGGCCCAGCCAAGGATGAGGTCAAGATGGTCAAGACCTTGGTTGGCCATCAGTTGGGTTGACCCAAACTTGCTTTAGCCTCTTCCCATTGGCCCGTTAGGGGTCTTGGTTGGCCATTGGTGGTTACTTGACCCACGGGGGGGTTGGTCAGAGCCAGTTTGGCCCCTTCTGATTGGCCCGGCCAAGGATGAGGTCAAGCATTGGCCCGTCGGGGGTCTCAGGTGACCATTGGTGGTTGCCCCCCCCCGCCGAGGTCACCCATTGGTGGACAAGGGGCCCGTGGCCCCCCCCTCTCAGGGCTGCACCCATGGGTGCCCCCTGCGGGGTCCCCAGGGACAGACACTACAGGGCTCCGCGCGCGTCCCCTCCGCTGTGACCCCCCCCGGTGCCACCTCCTCAGGGTGTCCCTGTCCCCTCCTGGTCCCCCCTCTTCTCTTCCTGCCTCAATAAAGAGATGGAGAACCCCGAGAGTCCCTGTTGGGGGGCACGTGTCCCCATGGAGGGTCCCGGTGTCCCCAGGAGGGATCCTGGTGTCCCCGGGGGGGGTCCCCGTGTCACCAGGAGGGTCCCAGTGACACCAGAAGGGTCCCGGTGTCCCCACAGGGGGTCCTGGTGTCTTCGGGGGGGTCCCGGTGTCCCCGGGGGGTCCAGGTGTCCCCAAGGAGGGTCCCGGTGTCCCCAGGAGGTTCCTGGTGTCCCCATGGAGTGTCCTGGTGTCCCCAAGGGGGTTCCTGATGTCCCCATGGAGTTTCCCGGTGTCCCCATGGAGTGTTCCGGTGTCCCCAGGGGAGATTCTGGTGTCCCCATGGGGGCTCCCAGTGTCCCCGTGGAGGGTCCCGGTGTCCCCATGGAGTGTCCCGGTGTCCCCAGTGGGTTTCTGGGATCCCCATGGAGGGTCCCAGTGTCCC